AAAAATTATCCATGAGAACCCTCTTCATCCTCAGCACATGCCGTTTATGGCCCGGTAGGCTCATTGGAATCTCTATTGGATGAAATTTAACATAGCCCATTTATTTGACCCAAGGACGAACCCTATTGAAATTGGGAAAATCGGTTAAGATTTACATATAGCTCTTATATATATATTCGTTCGATTTAAGGTAAGTGCATGAAATATGGAGTAATGAGTGTTAAAATCGGTTCAGATTTAGATATAGCTGCCATATATATATATTCGTCCGATTTTAGGTAAATAGTGCATCAAAGTCCCTTTGTATCCTTCGATTTGCACTAAATTTGGCATAACGTGATGAATTGAGTCTAGAATGATGAGTGGTAAGTTTCGGGAAAATCGGTTCAGATTTAGATATAGCTGCCATATATATTTTCTTCCGATTTAAGGTAAATGGTGTACCAAAGTCCCTATATATCTTTCGATTTGCATGAAATTTGGCATAACGTACTGAATTAAGTCTAGAGAGATGGGTGTTAAAATTCCTGAAAATCGGTTCGGATTTAGATATAGCTCCCATATATATTTTCGTCCAATTTTATATAAATGGTGTACCAATGTCCCTATATATCCTTCGATATGGTGCACCAAACTCCTAATGTTTGTTCGATTAACAGGAAATTTTGCACAACGTATCTGCATGACGTGCAGATGCAGCCATAGCTTCCATATGTATTTCGAACGGGTGTCTGATTAAAATGAATTATTTAACAATGCGGCGTACCGAATAGCTTGCATAAATTTTGCTATAAATCGTTTTCCAAAAATTTGTCCCATGGTACGCAGACGACTCTAAATCTGCCCTAATAAAATTAAATTTATCATAGGTTGCAGAAAGACATGAGCACGTTCCTTTGAGGGAACATTGACATGCAATTGTAAGGATACATATGTACAATATACCCAAAGTGGTGAAGGGTATCAGTCCGACTTTACTACTTTCCTTACTGGTCGAATATGATGTTGGAATGAATGGGACGAGCTATATATAAGATATTGTTAATAAATTTGATGTTCGTAATTGGATGATATTGATCTGAATATCTTATTTCGATCAGAAGGAAACACCTCTGTCGATTTATCCATGACCGTCTGCCTGTTCGACTGTTATTAGAGCTCGAAATATTTTGAATAGAGCTTGAATATTGTGCACATACATTAATACTACTCCTAGGATAATTGATATTTATCCACCAATACAACTTTCTTTTTGTCGAATTGGTATTTTTGGGTTCTCATTGGGTAGCTAAATCTCCACACCAAAAATGATCGGGGCCACGAAAATCTGAAAGCTTTTGATGGTAGAAGGGATAAAACATTGCTGAAGAATGAAAATCAATATTTTTTAAAGCCATCCCAAGTCGAAAAACTTATGGCCGGGTTAAAAAATAGCCAATAATTCAAAGCCTTTCTACCATCGTAAGCATTCAGATTTTGCGGGCCCGATTGATTCAAGATATTAGTGTTGCCCAGTGTATTAGCACAAGTTTCAAGAAGCCCTCAATTATTCATTATTTTGAGTACGTTTTCAATCGATCTGGCTCTAATCTGATATTATGGGTTTTCATTGGGTTAAAAATATGCCTAAATATTTTATAACCAAGATTTAAAGACATTCAAACCAATTCCGATGCCCTACCTATTGCGAATCCCTCCCCCTCACCTCAAAAAACTGCATCCTGTTGTTATTGTTTTTGTTGTATGTGTTTTTGTTGTTATTGTTTTTGCATGCCGAAAAAGAAACAATGCAATTTTATGCATTTCTGCCATACACAATTTGGGGAAAGTTCAACGTTGCAATCCGTCATTGCAAATAACAACAACGACAAAAATGACTTGCCTCTGACAGGATGTTAAGGACTTGCAAAATTTTTGTCAGACTTTGACAACAATAACAACATCGTCATCATTAAAAAAAATGAATGAAACAGAAGAGTTGCATCGGTTTCCTTACCTTGTGTCGTGTCTTCTGGCGGGATGGCTGGTGGTTTGGGGTCATAATGACGTCAACAACAATAACTGAAAATGAGAACTGATGATGATTATGATACTGGATGTCTATAAGATATGTGAACATATAATGCATGCTGAGTTCTGCAGCAATGCATTCACTTCCTTTTGTGGGGGAAAACACACATACGAACTCTGTGCTCCTTGAAATCTGTCAAAAATTTTGTTTCATTTTTTGTTGCTGTTGTCGTTGTTAATTTTGATATGCATTTGCTTTTGTATAACCTTCACTTGTCACCTTTTATGTCATATCTGTTTTTTGTTTTTTGCAACATTTTTCCTTGCAACTGCACAAGACATCAGAATCATTACTCCACACAATGTTCCGTTGCACTTGACAGTGTAAAAAACATATCGAGTTTCCTGTTATCTGAATGGAAGGCCTTCTGTACATTCCAGACATTTTCACTTCACTACCCTCAACTCTCACAACAAGTTTTCTTCACTTTTTTTTTTTTGAATCCTTTTTGAACATGTCCCTAAATTTTTATTGCAAGTCCAATCTGTGATTTTTTTCTCTGCTCATACATGCATAATGTCTTTTTTCCCTTCCGTTTCAATTTCAAGTGCAATGATTTTTTTTTAGCCAAAAAACGACAACAACGCCAGGAATGAAGACAAAATCGTCTAATGAACTTCAGAGCTAGGAAGCAGAACAACAACAAGATGTTAGATGTCTTCTTATTTCGAAAACAACACTTGTCATCTTTATGTCTCCATGACCGACACATCATGAAGTCATCATCATTACAATGAAGGCAACATTACATTGTTGCCTCTCTCCCTGTCTTAATTCGGCTGAAGCTTCATTTACATTTTTTGATACTCATACACTGGTAGTTATCTTAGACGCATCGTTTCGGTTTTTTTTTCATTTTTTCGGCATTGAATGGAATTTTTATTAATGCTACACAGGGTGATTCATAAAAATGCCACTAGGAACGAACTTTGGATAGCCTACACCATAGGTATACAGATATTTACTCAAAATGGAAATATAGGGAACTTACATACCAAAAAGTAGGTCTCTACCGATAATTGTACCAAGCGAATTGTACCAAACTTCAGCAATTTTTAATGGAGATTTTTCCTAAAACCCCAAATGGTGGACAGGTATTGAATATGTGTATAAAATCCTTAAATCCTCACTTTTTGTTCATCCGGTTAATTCTGGCTAACTTCCGCCTTTGTGCCTCAGACAATTGCTTCTTCCTGGTTGCGAGTTTGGCGACATCCTTACTCAGCTCGTCTATCATCTTGTCGGCCCCTTCTCTCTTCCGGCTCTCCAAGACGGTTATGTTTGTCTGATTATCATGTTCATATTCAAAATTCGAAGTTGAGTCCCCTCCTGTCTCTGAAGGCTGGGTCAACTTTTTCCATCCTTTGTTTTTTTTTTTTTTGTTTTAGGAGAACACCCCGTAGTTAGTTTTGGTCCGCGGGGACATAAGCCCTAAAGGTGGGATGAACTATTTGAACATTAGAAAGGGGGGTTATACGGGGACTTCTCCTAAAAGGGGACGAATATAAAAAATTTTAGGGAGGGATATTTGTTACCATATACGAATAAAAAATACCAAATTACAGCGAATTCGGTTGAAAAACTCACTCAGAATCCAAAATACTGAAAATTGGGAGGTGCCCTTATATGGGGGCTACCCGAAATAAATTACCCATTTTTATAATTTTTAGTTGGCATAAGGTGAGATCTGAAATTATCAATTTACAGCAAATTCGCTTGAAAAATGCGCTCAAACCCCCAAACATACCGTAAATTGTGAGGCACCCTTATAGAGGGGCTAACCGAAAAACTGAACCAAAATTTATAATTTTTAATGAAAAGATTTGCTACCCAATAAAAACTCAAAGTACTAAATTACAGGGAAATCGGTTGAAAAATGTGCTCAAAACCCCCAATAATTGGAAATTGGGGGGTGCCGTTATATAAAGGCTGGAACTCATCCATGGGTTCCAGTAATTCTCGGGGATCGCCAACTTTTCATTGTCGCCACAGTAATTCCAATCGTAGATGTGGTGGGGACAGTCTGGTTTCCTTGATGATGACAGCAGCAGTGAATGCAGCTAAAAATAATTTGGGTGCCAAATAACAGTTTATCCGTGATACAGCCTCTTTTACATGCGATATCGCGGTCGGTAGCCAAATGGCCCAGTAGCTCCTCAGGTGTGGGTTAAAACCCCTTCCTATACACCAGTAGCTGGAATTTTCTCGTCCATGGGTCCGAGTAGTTCTAGAGGTTCGCCAGCTTTGCATTTTCCTTCCTATACGCCAGTAACTGGGGGACAATCCGCGTCCCCGGGTCCAAACAGGCCAACAAAGAGGCGCATGCTGCATCGATTTTGGGTTTGGTGGCAGAAAGCGAATGTATCAGATCCTCAGGCTTGGATTACAAGAAACCCACAAATTCGTTGGTAACAGCTCCTCAGGCATGGAAATAAGAATGCAAACAAAATATTAGAGGACTGATACATTACTCCTTGGCTTGGCAATCAACCCATTGGTCTATGCTATCGTTCATATTTCCATCATCATCATCACTTCCACGCCCAGCATTTGAGAAGTCAGGAGCAGCCGCTTTGGATGTTCCGGGACTGTCCTGGCCTCTTGATGCTGGCAGCAGCAGTTAATGCTGCCAAAAATCAGTTGGGCGCCAATAACAGTTTATCCGTGATACGCCCAGTATTTGAACAGTCAGGAGCAGCCGCTTTGGATGTTCCGGGACAGTCCTGATGTCTTGATGCTGGCAGCAGCAGTTAATGCTGCCAAAAATCAGTTGGGCGCCAATATCAGTTTATCCGTGATACTGCCACTTTTGATAGATATTGCAACTATGATCGCGACAGCTTATTTGAGGATAGCAATAAGTTTTTTTTCTGATGAGGCCGTGAGCCCAAGCCACAGACATGCCCCGTTTGCAATAGTTCAAAATCGAATGCCAACATTCCTGGATGGTCTTGACAAGGCCGCTAATGGCACCAGTGCCAGCATGAAATTGAGTGGAGCCAAGAACAACGGTGGCACTGCAGCTTCCGAATTTCCGGGTAATGGTATTCTCTTTATAGAAAAGCAATACATCTTCTCATAGAAGAGCATAGCAATTGGTCTATTCGTAGGAGAGCAATATGTATTCTCTTCATAGAAAAGGAAAAGGTCTTATCTTCATGGAAGAACAAGACGCATTTTCTTTATAGAAAAAAAGATGTGTCTTCCCATAGATGAGAAGTATTCTTCTCGTCCACGTAGAAGTGAAATTGGTCTTCTCATTGAGTAGCAATTGTTCCACCCTGTAAACACACACCATAAAAGTTCACATTCTTCTTTTGGGGCTGTCCAAAAAGCATGTTGCCATTGTTTCTATTCTTCTCTTTTCTGGCATTCATCCCGTCAAGACGATTCTTCCTCAAGGGACAGATAGCCAAAAAAAGTAAATATTGTTGAGAAAAAATTATAAAAAAGAAGATACTCACAAAAATTGAAAAAAACTTGGTAAGAGATGAATTTCGAAAGAAAAAATCAAAGCGAAACGCAATGAAAGACAAATAAAGGGAATAACTGTCAAAATCAATCATACCAAAAAGAAAATCATCACAAACAAAAACTAGAGAAAAACTCCTTTCAAAAAGAGGTCCTTGCAAATTGAAACAAAAAAAATGTCACTTTGTAATTTTTGTGTTCATAAAAACGGGGAAATGAAAAATAAAGTTCACAGGGAGTCAGTCAGCAGCGCTTCGCCGCCATAATTGCCAAGTATAAGAGATAACAAGATATTACCACATTAATTTTATGTGTTTCAAATTTTCGTTTCATAATATTCTTTATCAATCTTTCATAATATCCATTATCAATAAAATTGCAAGTGGGAGTGACCGATAATATCAAATCAAAAAAGACTTCCTCAATTAGTCATTATTACTAAATATTTTTTTGTTGTTATTGCAAACAAAGCAATATTTCATAAATGCCAATCGAATTCTGTAGATAACATTTACAAATATATTTTTTCAATTTCATATCATGCTCCACCTCACCCCCTCTCTGTTGTCCTTTTCATTGCAGAATTAAATCATCACGTGCTACACCTGTTCCTTCAACACGTCGCACCTACAGCGAAGAGGACATTAATAACGCCATGCACGAAGTACTTGCTGGTAGATTGGGCACTCGCAAGGCTGCCGTTCAATTCAATGTGCCACGTTCCACGCTGCGTAACAAAATGTACAAATTGGCCACGGAGACCAAGCGACCGGGCTCTGACAGCGCCACAGATATACTACAACAAGAACTCGAAAAAGATATGTCCGGTGATGAGGCGGACGATGGCGGCGTAGATAGTAATGCCTCAACGCCACAGCCCGAGGATGAGTTGCGACGCATCAACACACCCACAATGTTAAAGAAAATTGCCGCTGCCAATAACGGTGAGGTGGCGATGGATGTCACTGATGATCACCAGCGGCCACATTTGTTGAACTCGCCGAAACCAGCTCACACCGAATCCTCAAAACCTCAAACAAATGATATACTAAATTCAAATGCCGAACTCTCAACACCACCACAGCCACAAATACCCCAAATCGATACCACACTGCTGTTGCAGACCCTCTTGCTGTCCGATAAAAATCTACGTGATCTCTTTAGTGCTTTGTTGCTGAATTCCACCATTAACTTGAAGGATGTCCTGATGGGTGCAACAACAGCGGCCACAACGGCTGCCACAGCTGTGGCGACGGCCGCTGCTGCTGCGGCGGCTGCCTCCGAGCCCAATACAAATAGTAACCTAAATAATGGTAATCAACAACAGGACTACCGTCCACTATTGCAGTTGCTGTTGCAGCAACAACAACAACAGCAGCAGCAAAATTCATTTACCCCTGGCCGTGCCCGTTTACCAAAGTCTGATACACCTGAAACAAATTCATCTCTGGATCCCAATGAGTCGTGCGATGATCCCACCTCGGCGATATTGAAAATTCCGTCCTATACACCAGTGGCTGGAACTTCCTCGTCCATGGGTCCCAGCAGTTCTAGGGGTTCGCCAGCTTTGCATTGTCACAACAGCAACAACAGTAATTCCAATCGTAATGGTGGTGGTGGCGACAGTCCGGGTCCCTTGATGCTGGCAGCAGCAGTTAATGCAGCCAAAAATCAGTTGGGCGCCAATAACAGTTTATCCGTGACCCCACCACTGTTACATGGCGCCGTTGATAGCCAAACTACCCAGTCGCTGAGAATGCGTGATGTCATTGCCAATAGTATACACCGCACGATGAGCGAACAGGCCAACAAGGAAGCGCATGCCGCATCGCTTTTGGGTCTGGTGGCAGAGAGTGAGCGTAACAGCTCCTCCGGCATGGATTATAAGAAACCCACCATCTCGGTGGTGAAAAATATTGGCGGCACGGATACATCACGATTTGGCACCGCACCCAACCTATTGGCCAATGCGGCCGTTCACAATCACCATCATCAACATCACCACATGCACGCCCACCATCTGCGCAGTCAGGAGGCAGCCGCCTTGGCTGCCGGCAAGGGGACACGACCCAAACGTGGCAAATATCGCAACTATGACCGCGACAGCTTGGTTGAGGCTGTCAAGGCTGTGCAGCGGGGAGAAATGTCGGTGCATCGGGCTGGCAGTTACTACGGAGTTCCACATTCAACACTAGAGTACAAGGTAAAAGAGCGTCATCTGATGAGGCCGCGAAAGCGTGAGCCCAAGCCACAGGCAGGCCTCGATGGTGCCAGCAATAGTTCAAAATCGAATGCCAACATTCCGTCGGGCCTGGCTGGTCTTGACAAGCTAAAGGCCGGTAATGGCACCAGTGCCAGCATGAAATTGAGTGGAGCCAAGAATAACGGTGGCACTGGAGCATCCGTATTTCCAGGTAATGCCGGTAACGGTATGAAACTGCCGCTGTTTGATCCCGCCTTAACACATCTACCCTATGCCTCTTCGATGTTTTGGCAACATCCACAGGCTGCCTTTGGCCAGCTGCAAATGGAGTACAATCGCAATGCCACAGCATCCGGCAGCGCTGCCTCGCCCACTGAGTCGGGCAGTGAAATATTGAAATCACATATCCAGCGTTATCAGGAACAGGCGGCAGCCGGTGGTGGTGGTAATACAACAAATTCCTCAAATGGTCCCAGTCCGATATCAAGTCCTCCCATACTAAGTGGCCATGATATAAATCGAGCGCGGGAACTGTATGAGACAAATGCGGCCAATGGAGCCAACTTTTTGGATGGCATAATACGGCACACGCTCGATCGCAAGAGTAATGAGGCAGGTGGCAGCAGTGCGAGTGGCGGCGGAGGAGGTGTGTTGTTGGATCAGTTGTTAATGAAGAAGACACCATTGCCGTTTACCAATAATCGCGGAGGTGGTATGGGTGACTACAACAGCCTCTCACGCTCCCCCACACACTTGGCCAATAAACGTGGCGGTAGTCCTCTGTCATTAAGGGCGTCATCAATAAAGCGAGAACGCACCGATAGTGGTAGTGATGAGGATGAAACTTCTCAAAGTGGTGCCGATGAATATGAGCGGGAAACCAATAACAATAATAATAACAACAACAGCAGTAGTTGTAGTAAAGGGGGTAGTTTGAAAACGCTGTTACATCAAAGAGATCGCCGCATTGCTTCAAGAGATTCCGCCTCCGAGACAGATGCAAGTAGTTTGAAGAGTGAACAGCTGCAAATGAACAACAACAACAGTCATCATATGCATCACAACAACAACAATGGCAATAACACGAACAACAACAACAGCATGGTTGCCAGTGATATAAATGGCGGCGGCGGCGGTGTGGCCATCAATGTTAAAAGCGAAATTCCTACACTCGAATCTGGCACCTCCATACTCCAAGAGAAACTCTCCCAAATTAAATCGGAACAACAGGAGAACGAAGAGAATTTATAGAATCAATTATCATACGGTTGTGGTGTGGCGGAAGGTGTTGATGTTGATGATGTTGGCCTAATGCCACATTATCAATACCAGCAGCCAAGGCGTCATCCCCAACCAGTTTGGTATGATCCGCATCAGCAACAGCAGCAACACTATGAGGAGCAGCATCAGCAGCACCATCTTCATCATCACAATCCATGGTTGACAACACATCATGGTACGAGCGGTAGTGAGACATTAGCTAATAACTATTATAGTTACTGAGAGAAAAAGAGAGAAAGAGAAGAAAAATATCAAAGTAAGAGAGCAAGTGTGGGAGTAAAGTGGCAAGCGGGAAACGGAAACAAACAAACCAACTGCTGAAACATTAGACAAAAAAAGAAAAATGGTAATAATTTAGTAAAATTAAGTAAAACAAAACAAAAAAACAAACTAAACACAAATCAAATGCCTGTGCTACAGAGAGTAACCGAAAAAAGAAAACAACACAACATAAAGAGAGCATGAAATCATTTACAATTGTCAAACGTGTCAAGATGTACAATTTGAAGAAGAAACAGCAACAACAACAAATATGTCAAAGTTAAATGAAATGGAATTAGTCAAAATTTTTTTGTTTTTCTTTTCTACTACTTTCTTCGTTTTCTATTTTTGTTTTTCATAATTGTTCTTAATAGAATATTTCTTTTTTTTACATACATATATACTATATACATATACATATATAAATAATGTATATTTTTTAGAATTTTGATTTTCTTTAAGCTAAATGAAAAGGCAAGTGAAATAATAATAATTATAATAATAACAACAACAACAACAAAAAGCCCACAAAAGTGTATGTATTTAGGTTAAAAGAGCAAAAACAAAACAAACATGAGATAAGAAGACAATTAAAAAAAACAACAACAAATAATACAAAATAGAAATACAAACATACAAACATAATTAAAAAACACACACACAAACACAATTATATATGGTCGCGTTGTACATAGATAATCTTAGAATGGTAACAAAAAAACACAACAACAAAACAAATCATTATCAAACAAAAACAACAACAAACAACACTTTTTAACAGTTTTAAAAGAAAGCCCAAAATAGTTAATAAACTCAACAAACAACAACTTAACAGTACTATAGATTTATAAAATACAACAACAAACAAACAGCAACAATACAAATGAAAACAATATACAACAACAACCTACATTATTATATATACCTACATATATATAAACAACAACAAAACAAATATATATATTGAATGATGATTTTTTTACCAAGTATATGTATATATAATAATAAATATATATGTGTATATATACACATATGTATGTGCATATATATATTTATATATAATATATACAATACTTTCAAATTTTTCCTATATATATTTATTATTAGTTTTCTTTTCTTTCATTTTTTGACAATCGACGCAATAGGCACTTGTACAAACTAACCAAAACAATAAACAAAAACAAGCAAATGCGTTAAGCAAACAAACTACAATAAAAACAAATACAAACAATAACAACAACAATATTTATAATACAGTGAGTGTCATTAAAAGTCTCATAGATGGGTTTTTATAAAATTTGGAATTTATTTGGTAAATGAGAAATGTCATTTGCTTTGAACAGAAATTGAGAGAAATAGAATCGCAATCGGATCTCAGAGTCTTCAATATCAAAACTAAAGACATGTTTACACTGAAAAAATCAAAAATAACAATTTATTACAAAAACTTCACCGCAAACATAGGTACTTGTTTACATTACCGACTAATGACAACAGACATTATTGCCGAAAGTAAAAAATAAGACACATCCCATCTAAAATCGACAAATTTTTTAGTTTTGCCTCAAATCAGATCAAAATCAAATTTCGACATTTACAAAATCGACTTAAAGCCAATCAATCCGACTAATGACAGCAGTTGGCATTTGGTATTAAAATACAAAAATTTGCTCTATATCCTATGACAAATCGAGAAAGTTTAAAATACAACCCTGCGTTTGTCACAAAAAAAATAATCTTTTTTCCTTAAAGTATGCTTTAAAATAAGTTATTATTAAAAAAACTGCCGATCATAATAAATATTACTAAAATTGAGAAGGAGAAAGGTGTTTATGCATTTCTGACCTGTAGATAGCAATTCCTAACAAAATTATGAAAATATGAATTGAAAAATTGACTCAGAAATCATGCATACGTAAACAAATAACAGCTGACGATCAATTCATTCATTTTAATACTAGGTAAAGGCGCATTTAGGCCTTCAAAATCGACTCGATTTGTAAATCGAGGTACGAAATCATAGCTGTTTAGACTAGTTTTAAGATTAAATGAAGTGAATTTTCAACTGTTGTTTTCTATTGGCTCAGAAATGCAACAAATATTTGTTTTCTAATTATAGTAAGAGTTATAAATTCAACAAAAAATAATTTTTCAACAGCTGGCATATTTTTAGGCAGTTATTTGAAATATTGCTTAATTTTAAAGCATACTTTAAGGATAAACTTTTATTTTTTGGTGTAAAAGCAGTGTTGTCTTTGAAATTATCTCGATTTAGCATATAATTTCGGGCAAATCGAGATAATGAATACAAAACTGAAACCACTCTGTAACTCGAACTCCTGTGCGTAATACGGCACTGATTTTGTACCAATAAATCACCTTTCCTAAAAGTAAAAATTGCAATATTTTGTCATTTGCGTCATTTGTTTACTTTAAATTTAAAAACCCGTCAAAATAATAGCCAAGCAAAAGCTGAGAACAAATCAAAATTTTCACCCTTTGGAGATAAATTTTTATTAGAATTATGAAAATACTGTCCAAAAATAGCTAGAAGGCATAACTACTTGTAATTAGAAATGTGTATGCATACGTAAACAAATATCAGTTGACTTACTTTGTATAATTTTAATACTAGTCCAAAAACAGCTAAAGTTTAGTAACACGATTCAGAAATCGGGCCAATTTAGAAGGTATAGTTTAAACGCGCCTTTACGTATCGCTAACAGACAGATTTCAATAAAAAATATTTTCCAATCTTTTGACTTTTACTGACAAACGACAACTCGTTCGAAAATCTACAAAAACTTTTTTTATAGTAAATTTACATTGTAATGGATTTTGTAAATCCAACACATTTAATTTGCCAATTTCATTGCATAAATGACCAAGAAATCCTCATAGAAGAGGTTAAACAGGCAAAACTTTCTAAATTTTGTACAGTTCTAGGTTCATTTCTTCTGAAAATCTTTGTATATGTCTATTTGTTTCACTGACATCTAATTTCACAATCTAAATTATGTGTTTTGTTAAATCAAGTTTGGTGTTAATATTATCACGTATATTTTTGTAAGACAAAATAATTACAATATATCACTTTTTTGTCTTTTTTTGTCTTTTAAAATATATTTACATCAAACCCTTTTAAATAAAACACATAATTTAGATTGTCAATTCTCTAATTACACGTCAAAAAAGTCGATATATTTGTCAAAAACATATGTTAGGTGTCAATGTATTAATACAATCTTTGAACTAAGAGGTAATAATGTAAACATGCTCAAACGATTTTAAAATGTGTTTTTCAAAACTTCAATTCTCATATCAACCTTGGCAAGCTGTCAAATATATTATTTTCTTTTTCTTCAGATGGATCAGCTGTTTTGCTTGGATTATGTAATAAGTTGATCTTGGTATAGATTAAAGCAAGATCTATCAATAAGGCCACACAGTAAGCGACAACCAGCTGATATTTCTCCAGTTGAAAATCAAAAATTTGTGACAGAAAACTTCAGAAACGGCTAATTTTTTAAATCTTGATCTATATCACATTGTGCATTCAAATTTCACCGCAAACTTGTGAATCTAATGGTTCATTTATTAGGTCTTCAATTCAACAAGGTTTTCTCAATGGAACATAGATAATTATTACAGAGTTCGCCGCAAAAATACTTCATAAAAATACACATAATTGTACATAAACACAGATGAATTTACAATTTCCTTTGTTTATCAGAAATAGGTTTTAATATTTGCTAAAAAATGCACAATATTGCATTTAGGCTGAATTTTAAAATCAGCTGATATTCTATGAGACTATGGCAAATAATCTTTTCTATCATAAAAACGGTGCTTGTTTGTTTACGTTTTTGTACTGTGAATTTCATTCACAATAGTGAATGTAAACGTATTAATAATTTTTGACCTATACCATTGTCAAGGTATTAATAAGGTCACACAACTAGCAACCGAAATCAGAAAACAGCAGTTATTTCTGAAGTTAAATGTACAAAATTTGGACGTTGTTTACGTCTTCATAATGAGAAGTTTATTCACAGTAATAGATTTTGACAGCAAACTTATGAATCATCTGATTTGCAGATGGACTCCTTATAAATAGACCTCGTACCATTGTCAACAGCATGTATTAATAAGGTTATCCAGGGGGACCAGTTGGATATAAGCTGCTTTTCAAGTTTGCTGTCAAAGTTCATTATTGTGAATTTACTTCCATCATGGCAACGTAAACAAAGCCCAAATTGTTGACATTAGACATGAGAATTAACAGCTGACTTTCGCTAGATGTGTGATCTTCTTAATAGATTTTGCATTGTCAACATGTTAGTTCATCCAAAAAAAAAAAAAAAAACAGAACTTTTCTGTTATAAATTTATTTATTATTATTATTTTTTTTTTTTTTTTTTTTTAAATCTGTGATATTTTTTTGACGCTCACTGTAATTGTTTAGGGAAAATGTATGTGACGAAGCGATCATACATTCATAACACTAAGGGTGTTCACATGTCAATCGTTTTAAAAAACGAAACAATTTAGATATTTTAAAGGGTGTTTAGATTTCGAAATCCACTCGATTTTAATTATAGATTTCAAAGCTTATAAATTAATTAAATCCTATAAATACAGTGGATTTTATTTTACCTATAAGCTATGGAATTGACATTTTTGCATCGCGTGGATTTCGTAAATCTAAATGTAATTTATGCCATATTTACACCAAAAACATTTTAATACAAAT